AGCCCAGAATGTGATTGGCTTTCCGGGCTGCGAGTGCACATTGCTGGCTCATACTCAGTTTTTCATCCACTAATACTCCCAAGTCTTTCTCTGCAAGGCTGCTCTGAGTACTGTTGTATTCACTACTTCAGGAGCTTGTGTTGATTTTGTAGCACTTCAGAGAGTTGGGAAGGATTTCATGTCTCCAGGTACTTAGAAGCTGCTTCTACAGCCCAGCACAAGCTACAGTCCACAAAGGAAAAGTTCCAAAGCACTACAAGGCTACACGGTGATTTTGAGGATGACATATCATGCTAAGGCTCAAAGAAGTGATGTTCTAAAACGGTATCCTTCCAGGAGAAAAATGTAGTAATTTAAAGATGGAATATGTTCTGTTGATGAAAAAACAGAAATTCTATGTACTTGGCTGCAAGAACAGAGGACTGGGCTTCAAGACAAAGTCCTTCTCACACTTGCATCCTGTTTTACTGTGCTGTCTTCTACTCCCTTCACAGAACTTACTAGGAGCTGGCTTTTGTACCATAGAGAATCCAACTCCTGCTGATCTTCTGAGATTGTGCCTTTAAAAAAGTGGTATTATTAATATTGGTTTGACTAAGTATCATTCAGCTAAAGTCTTGAGCTGTATCTAGATGCACATAAAAACTGAACTCACTTAGAGCAAGAAGTTAATCCTTGCTTAATTTTCATTCACTGTTACACAGGTCAGGGACAAGGATTTGTGTGGTACTCCAGAGAAAGGATGTCCACAGAGCAGTAAGCTTGCCTTTCCTTTTCTGTGAGCAAAGCTTACAGTCCCAAGATATTCACTTGAGAAGGAGGGAATGTGGGATGTTCAAAGAAAATGAGAGGGACTATGATTCCAGGCTAGGAATGACTTAGGGCTGACATTTTCTAGGTGAATAGGTGACAATAGTTGCATGCTCTAGTTATTCATGTATCAAATTAGCATCTTAGTGCCTTTTTCTAGGCTGTAAATTAAGTCACTTCTGTGGGCTGAAAACTAAACATAGCCAAATAAAGATATCCTAATTGATTGATTGGATTTGAGGAGAAAAAGAACATTGTGGGAACAAGAGAAGAATGTGATGACAAAAGTGAATGTTTAGTGGTCTTCCATATTTACACTGCAGTAGTTTGTTATACAGGTATCTAGTGTTGAGTACAAACTGGTTTAATTCCTTCCCTAAAAGGAGAGTGTGTGCTGAAATGCTGATTCAGGAGTCCATTGTGTCTTGAACATAGGATGTGGGGTAATCCGACATTACACTTTATTCTGAGCTCTTGTGGCTTTCAAATGACCCCCTGAGGCAAACTGGGATGACAGTAGAATTGCATCATGTCATGGAGAACTGAAACAGCTGTTCCTGTCTCTAAACTTCAGTTTATGGCTACTCTCATCTTTGCAGACAGACAAAATGGGAAACTACTTGCTCTGTTTACAGTTGGAGCCTGCAACTGTTCCAGTCAGTAAAATGAAGGGTGGCTTTCAGTTTTGCTTGCTTCGGTTACAGCCTCTGTTTGGAATATACACTTTTTTATTCATTGAGAAATGCTTATATTTTCTTTCACCATAACATAATAAAATGCCTGTCCTTCTACTACTCACTTTCTTGCCTATTTTGGCTAGGCTTTACAGGCATGCTTCAGCAGTCTGTCTATGGAAAAAAGAATTAATCAGCTTAGCTGGCTGTTTCAGTTTCTCAGCCATGTCTGTATTATAATGAAAGAGTCTGTATGCAGGCACACAGTTAGGAAAATCAGTGCAGGGACTGTAATTATAAATATCAAATAGTGGGCAGCACTGCACTAATCCCTCAATAATTGAGGTGATTATGGATTACTAGACAGCCTGAATTTTCAAGGTACTAGCTACTATTCATCAGTGTAGGCAGAAACATTGTGGGAACTTCCCAGCAATAAGACCTTAATGGCTGTACTTGTGCTCTTAAGCAATCTTGAAGGGAATAACTCTTCCAGGTACAGGGCTTGGCTCTCTAGATGACTTAAGGTGGTAGCTGACTTAAGTGAATGGGAATGGTTTAGAAGCAGGCATCTAAATGTGAAATGTGGTTCTAAAGCATGTGGTTTTTCATGATGAATTTACAGTCTTAAAGATGAATTTTTATTCTAATTGCAGAGAATTCTGTTCTGTATTGCATGCTACCTTGACCTGATCATAATGTGCATGCAATGAGTGTACAAAACAAACTACTAACTGGATTTTTTACTGGCAATCTTTGACTGCTGAGAAGTTTGTTTCTGTTTGCCTTTTTCTTTCCTTAGTTGGACCATGGATATGCCCTCCATACGGCAGCCAAAGATTGCTTAAGTTCCATTGTCAGCCAGGATGTCCAAACACTGGCAGAAAGACCCAGAACAGTTTTCTATACCAGCGAGAATGACCCGGTGAGTTACTGCCACAATTGTTATTGTCAGACAGCAAGTGCCTAAATTCCATCAGTCTGCCTGTGGACGTGCTGGAGCCCAGAGTGCTTACTGGGATTGTGTTGTTCTAGTAAACGTAAGGGAAGGGAGTACACAGGCCTAATAATAGGTATCTAGACCATGATCCCCAGCCCAAAGGGAAACAGGCTGTGGCTGTGCAGTGCCACCTGCCTGGGTTTAAACAAGACAGGGCTGGTCCTCTGCCTGAAAGCTCCTGGGAACAAGTATTGATTCCTTCTCTATAGTTGCACAGATGAGATGATAGACTGTGTATTGTAGAAGCTCAGATGTGGCTTAGCTTGTCATCAGATGCCATTAATTTCAACTCCAGGGTTATTCTTCCCTCACTAACCTCCCCAAATTGGCTATGAAGGGTGATAAAAAACACACCCCAGATGACCTCAGCACAGCACAGCTCTCCAGCATCATAATTCCAGCCTCACACTCTGTCTCAAGCACAAAATGAAGTGGAATAAATTAATGGAATAAGCCTTTGAGATGCTTTTCTGCTGGCTGTGTAATTGGAGTCTTTCAATACTGATTCCTCTGGGGTCTCTATGGAAACAGCAGCATGCAGATGATCTTGCTCACGTGATGCAAGTGTCTCTATAGATTGCACAGAAGAGTCCAGATGGCAAGGATTGTCCCCACTGTCCTGTGCCTACCATTTACGTTGCCAGGCAACTGGCTTTGGCATTCTGACTTCATGGGCCTGATGTTTGGCGACAACCACCATTGCTTATTAATTTGTCAGATCAGTGTTCTTCGGACTTGCTGTATTGCAGATCGCGTATTGCAGCAGAGGGGCTCCGCTGTCTCGCTTCATCAGCAAACCTGATAGCTCTGATGGCACATGTACTTGTGCACCATAAAGTCCCATTAAAAATGGATTAAGACCAGACGAAAACTAAATTTTTACTAAGAATTAGCTTTTATATACCTTTCCATTAGCAAAACTCAAAGTGACTGAACATGAGGATAAAGATACTGACCCACTTTACAGATGTAGGAACTGAAGAGTGAAGGAATTTGGCCAAGGTTATGCAGCAAGTCAGTGATGAAACTGAGAATGAAAATGGTCTCTGGAGTACTGCTCTTCTGTTCGAGTCCATAGATACCACTGCCATGCAAAAACACAGGTGCTGTTAGTCTGTGTCCAACACGTGCAGGAAAACTCGAGCAAATCCAGCCCAGAGTTTGAAATACAGCTCTGCTTGGAAAAAAGACTGAAGTCTCTCAGAATTTTCTTCCTGTTGCTAAGATTTACTGACCAGTAAACACCAGACGGGCAACTCAAGCAGCTTAGATAGCAGTTTGCTGAAGTTACCAAATGGTTTCTTCCTATAAATAGTTTGGCAAACCTGTGGGTACCTTGAATCCTGCAGCTGTACCAAGGTAAACCGTACAGTCCAGGACACATTGACCTGTCCTATGAGTACCTTTCCTCATATGGAATAGGGATGTAGTTACCATAGGCTTTTCGGAGTGGAGGGCAGGGCAGAAGACAACAGGCATGTTGCATGCTGAAAGACTGAAAATCTGGTCTGAAGAAAGGGAGGGAGAGTAACATACCAAGAGTCCTGGGGCTACAAAATTCATGGGTCCGCAACAGAGCTGCAGCAGTTGCGCCTGAAGAGTCCATCAATGAACTGGGAAAAGCAAAATATTCATGGCCAAAGCAGGCAGTATTCAAACCTGTAGGTACAGCTGCTCACATGGTTCCACGTGAGGAATACAGCAGGCAGCCAGGTCAGGGTAGCAGTACTCATCACAAATTTTTTTTCCCCATCCGTTCATTCTGGTCAAACCATTTGTCAGCCGGACTGCACAGGTGAGCGACCAAGCCCAGACCAGTATTGTCTCACCTGTTCTGGGCCTCAGTAAATTAAGTCCTGGGTCTACACCAAAGCTAATAAGGAATACAGATCTGGATCAGCCCCCAGATCTGCTAAAGCTGGCAGAAAGAATGACTGCTTCTTTTTCTTTCTGAACAGTAAATAAAACTACTTTTCCTGGATCATTATTATGCAAAATAAAGAAAACAAGGAAGTTGTTATGTTCTGACTCCACATCAACCAAAATGGAAGTAAGAGATTGACATGCACGAGAATAAAGAGGAGGATTTTTTTACTTTAAGTCCGTGGAAAAGTGCAGAAAGTCTAGAGCAGGACTCAGCAGCTTGGCACAAAGCTGCTAAAAATGCCAGACACAGCTTGGCACAAAAGTTGCTAAAAGTCACAGAGGAAGTACTGCAGAATAGTGTCTCTATATACTGTCCTAATTATACAAGACACAAAAACTGATGACTAGACCCAGAGTAAATAAGTAAGTGTTTTGCAAGTATTGCCTTGTAGGAAAATAGAATAATGAAGGGAAAAAACAAGGATGTGTAACAAGGCATGAAATGGGTATTAGATTTTCATATATCAGTAACAACTGCTTCTTAGACTGCGCAGTCAGAGTTCTTAAAGTAATTACTATAAATAAATGCAGAACGATGCAAGTCTGCTGGAGGAATAATACTGACCGCTTATGTCACAATAAGGGACTTGGAAATTATTGCCCCAGAAAACAGATTGTGAGTTCTTAAGCAACCAGTACTAGTTAACAAGGTAAGTAGCATATTAGGAATTACTACTGAGAGACAGCAAAGAACAAACCAGAAAACATAATTTTGTTGCAGACATAAAGAAAATAAATTTGAATCCGGCAGATAATTCAAAAGGGGATCATATTGCTATTAAGATAGCGTGGTGACCAGAAGTACAAGTGGACTAATAAAAGATTAGATGAACTCATGAAGCATAGGGCCACCAGTGCCCACAAAACAGAATGGTTCATATACAAGCTCAAGGAATCCCTTTATTGTTTATTGCCAGGTGGGATATCCTTTCTTTAGATTCTTCCTAAGCATCTGCCAGTAGTGTCCTGATACTACAATTCCTGCTTTACTTTAATATGCTAGTTCTTCTGACTCTTGCTTTGTAGATTGAACATGTAGATACTCGCTTTGATGGAGCATTCCCTCCCTGTTCCATTCTCACAGGCCTTCTGTATCCAGAAAAGAGGTATTGGACTTTACTGAGTGTAACAGTTTGCATTTTACCTTCCCAGGCCAAGCACACAGAACACCATGAGGGTCGCCATTATAGCATTCCACTTGAGGAGGTGAAAGCTGTGTTTCCACATGGACTGCCCTATCGGTTCCAGCAGCAGGTACTTTGTCTTAGAGCAGAGTTGTAGGGAGTGGACTGGTATGTAGGAAGAACCAGATCCATCGGGTAACTACAATGCTTTCCTGTTGGAATAAGAGAGAGTGATGTGCTGCAAGAATGCAGTTACTCCTGGTCCTTACTGTTATTTTCTACATCTAAAAGATATGAGTCAACCTAACCAGAATAGTGGCAGAAGGGTGTGAGGATTCCACTTTAGGCAACGTTCTATCCAGTATTTTTCATCTCTAACAACTTCTGAGTACATAATGAATTACAGAATATTTTCCACAGTTACATTTCTGTATGAAACAGGCTGTCTCATGAAATAAGTTTATATTGGCAAGAAAAAAATCTTGCCTCTTGATTTCTGTTGTAAGACAGATCATGCTGTGACTGGATCAGGCTTCGCAAGCAGCTAACACAGACTGCCTACTTGAGTTTAGGAAGAGATTTCTTATCTGTGAGTTAGTAATTCTAGGTGATTGACTTTTGATTCACTGACAGGCCAGTCGGCCTCACCTTGGTCTCTGGGAACTTGATTGGAACAGCTAATCCTGGAAACCATTTCCAGGCACACAAAGGATAAGAAAGTCATCAGGGGTAGTCAGCATGGTTTCACCGAGGGGAAATCACACTTGACCAACCTGATAAACTTCTGTGATGATATGACTGGCCTGGTAGAGAAGGGGAAAGCAGTGGACATTCAGACCCTGCACAGTACCAATCAGAGATGGAATCATGCCAGGAACAGCTGTAGTGTGCCAGCACCTGGCTTCTTGTTCATATTCTGTTCCTTTTCTCAGATTAAGACCTTCAATGAAGCCTGCCTGATGGTGCGAAAACCAGCTCTAGAACTTTTCACTTACCTGAAAAGCTCCAACTTTGCACACCCAGCTGTCAGATATGTGATCTGTATCTTTTATCACTTACTTGATGGTAGAATGCAAGTTAAATACAAGCAGGTGAGTTTATGCAGATGAGGGTGATGTTTTGATCCTGTGCTGACCACTGCTGTTTAGTCTTCAGGAAGTGGTTCTGCTATGTGTGTTTTGTCAGCAAAGCTAGTCTGAGAAGTTCACGAAGCTTGTATACTTTTATTCTAAGCCCGATTTGGCTTATGGCACAGATTCACAAACAGGGCTACCAGCACAACTAAGGGAGTGGGAATAATCAGCTCTGATGTAGGGGGGCAGGAGGATATAGAGAGAAGGAACTCTTTAGGCTAGGTTTGCTGCTGAACAAAAGCCATCCTTGCTTTTATGACCTTTGAACTTCCTTTATGCCTTTGTGAAAGAATTACAGTCAAGTATAAATTGAAGTGGTTTTTCAGAGACTTTCCTTGACAATCCATGTTGGAGATGGTGAGAAAGGAACAGGGAAAACCATGACTCTGTGTCACGTGGTTCACTACTGCACAAGACAAGGCTGGTTGGTGCTGCACATCCCAGATGGTAAGAATACTGATGCTGTCTGTGTTATTACATCAAATATGCATGCTGATCCAGAAGATGCTGCTTCAAGAGAAAGGTGTAGGGTAGGCCACAGCAAATTAGCTTTTTTTTTCCATAGTGGAGAAGGCTTACAAGCACAAAACCCCCAAATAAAGTAGAACATAATTACAGTTATTTTCACCTGCTCGCACATGCTTATAGTCAGTCTTTTTTTTCTCCACTGTTAACGAGTATGACAGGACATGTGCTGTGTGTGGGTCTGTTTGACCTCCTCTGTTCTCAAGGGAGAATCTTCTCCATTAAGGATGACAGACTTTTCTTAGCAGTGTAGCAGAATAAGGATAAGAGATACAAACACACACCCCACCACCCAACTCATACAATTATTTTGACCGGAAAAAAAAAAAAAAAGGCAACTGTTTTATTTTGCTTACAGCTCATCTCTGGGTGAAAAACTGCAGGGAGCTTATACAGTCTTCCTACAACAAAGAACGGCTTGATCAGCCTTTGCAAGCATCCTTCTGGCTCAAGAACTTCAAAACCTCAAATGAGCGCTTCCTAAAAGAGGTTTGTAGAGCCTGTCAAGTTGTCTTGGTTAGTAGCTAAGAACTACCCACAGGATCATCTCTCAGGGACTGCAAGTGCACGTGCTTTCTGTCATTGAGCACCTTGATGCAAATTCTAGATTTGCTCATTTTCAAGAAATGCTTCATGTACTAATGCATGCACTCATACTGCATACAAACCCACAAACCCTACCCTTCACTTGAATTCAATTTTTGTGGAAAAAGAAGTACTTTAAATCCCCCCTGTGGGGGTGGCTATTTGCAATGAGTACTTCTCCCAGATTCTGCACTACTCTTTAACGCTGGCAAAGAACCAGCAATCTTGCCATCCAGACTTGCCAAGCTGCCTTTGCACTACTTATATCCCAATCTAATTGTAATTCTCTTACCGCAGATAAAAACACAAAAAAAATATGTGTGGGGCAAACGAGAAAGCACTGAGGAGGGCAGACCATTGGGTGAAGTGGTGGAACAGGTAAGGAATAACAACTGCTTCTGGCTTTGGTCTCACGTTTTATTAGAAGATCCTGTCATTGCATATGTACAACAAATTGCTTCTAAAGATCTTACAAATACGAATTCTAGGAAATGAACGGCATTTCCCTATCAACAAGGTGGCTACAAAAAACATTGTGGAAGATCTGATGGATCTGTAAAGGAAGTTGTACAGAGAACTTGGGTAGAAGCAAAAATTAGAATCTGAAAGTTCCTACATCTTTGATGCTCAGTACCTTAGACCAGATTACTCCTTTGAAACGAATGAACAGACTGTTGACGGTTGTTTTATCTTCCTTCCCCCTTAGAAAGGGCAGACAATGCCCAAAGTTGCCAGCATTATGTATTAACAAGAAAACCAACCTGAGTGATGTGCCTTTTCCTACTTAAAGGGTTTAGCTCGTGTGAGAAATGCCAGCGATGCTGTAGGGGTTGTGCTGAAAGAGATAAAGCAGCAATGTCATCTTGGGTCATTCCGACTTCTTGTGGCAGTGGACGGTGTCAATGCGCTCTGGGGAAGGACTACATTAAAGAAGGAAGACAAAAGCCCTGTAAGAAGTGATTTGTTCTGATGATATTTCTGCATTCCTACTGCAAGGGAGAGCGTTTTGTTAATTTTTAAGTTCTACAGTAATCCCTGAAAGACATACATTTGGCTTTGCTAGCTTGGAGGGACCTGAAAAATTCATATTGTGCTTTAGACAATTTTTACCGAAGAAAGTTCTCTCAGTAAGAAAAAAGTGCGCGTATGTCTTGTTATAGCAGAAAAGGTTTGGGCGTTTCTCTGTGTAACATTACTAAGGCTGAATGCTACAGTGCTAAGTAAAAGCAAAGAAAAAAATGCACCAAAAGGATGCAAATGATTCTTCCAGTCTAATTTAAAGTAGAGGGGGCATTTATGTCTCAGATTGAAACTGCTGGCAAAAAAAGTGATGCAGACAATCTTTACCAGGTTTCTCCAGAGGAGCTGACGCTCGTGTACAATCTAAGGAAGATGATGATGAATAATTGGGTGAGTTCCAGTCTGTACCTTTGGGTGTGTTATTCTCAGCAATTAAAACTACCTGCTGATAAGCGTAAAGCTACAAATCTAACATCACACTGTTGCTTCAGCAAAGGAGAGGATGAATATCATGTGACTGTTAAGGGTTAGTATCTCATCAGCATTTCTGACATCACCTGAAGAGAAATAAGAATAGGTCAGATATGTAACAATGCTTTTCTTGATTACCGTGCCAAACTCCAGTTTATGACCCTGAGCTAGAGGTATTTAATACCCCTTATGACACTTTGCTTTCTGATTTTTTGAACTAACGAGAACTTTTAGTTTCTAGATGTTTTGCTACAGGAGGTCAACTCCTTTTGCTTCTTTTTCAATCCTCTGGATGCTAGTATCTCTAACAGGTAGTCTTCAGATGCAAAAGTATATAGAAAAGTCCCTTTTAAAGTATTTCAGTTGTTTCAATAGAAAAGTCATTTATAGGTAAGAATGACACGTTTAAATGCTAGCACTGGAAACACCAGCTACGTATTCCCTGTTCTGCATGTGTCCTTGGAGTAGCCAGGCTTAACATAGTTAGGAGCATTGTAAGAGGTCCATTATATAGAATTTTGGAATTGAAGTAACTGTAAGATCAAAAAACCACCACCTCACTTATTTAGAATCAGTCCATAACTATTTCACAACCACTGCGTTTGCAGCTAAAAGGGTTTCTAATCTACCTTTTAGAGCGGAGGTGCTATTGTGACGACCCTCAGCCAGACAGGCTCTCTCTTCAAACCCAGTTCTGCCTATTTGCCCCAGGAGTTGCTGGGAAAGGTGAGTCCTGGCCTCTTCTTGTTTTTCCCCTTCACACTGGGAAACAAACAGAAATCCTGGTTTGGGAACTGTGTTCAGTCCAGGGTGGCAGCCTTTGCTCTTTGGATCACATACAGCTTTATTCTCCTTTGAAATAACTCTGCTTGAGCTCATCCCAGACGGGTCCTGCAGCAAGGAGAGGCCCAGGCCCAGGCCCGTGCCCGGGTGCTGCAGCCTGCGGCGGGACCTCACCCCCGGCTTTCCTTCCCAGGAGGGCTTCGATGCCCTGGACCCCTTCGTCCCCGTCCCGGTCCCCAACTACAGCCCGAGGGAGTTCGAGAGCTGCTACCGCTACTACCTCGACCGCCAGTGGCTGCAGCACGAGAAAGGTCAGCGCCCTGCCCGGGAGAGGGCGGGGGGGAGCCTCAGCCCGGGGGCCGGCCTGCCTGCGCCGAGGCGGTGGGCGGGGAGCCGGGGGGGGGTCCCGGCGGAGGAGGCCGCGGCCTCAACACACCTTCTGTCTTGCAGCGCGCACGGAGGACGGCAAGGAGGAGCTGCGGTTCCTGAGCGGCTCCAACCCGCGGCAGCTGGAGCGGCTGGCGGGACCCCTCTAGCGCAATAAAGGCCGGACCGGCGGCGGCGCCGCCTTCCCACTGTCGGTGTCCGCCTCCTTGGGGGGGGGGGTGGCTCCGCCACTGAG